TATATACAATATACATATATATACATACATACATACATACACGTATATATAAATACACACATACATATACAGACACACATATACAGACAAATACATACACACACACACACACACATACACACATACATACATACATACACACACACACACACACACACACACACACACACACACACACACACACACACACACACGCACACATACATACACACACACACACGCACACATACATACAAACACACACACGCACACATACATACAAACACACACACGCACACATACAAGCACACACACACACACACACACACACACACACACACACACACACACACACACACACACACACATACATATACATACATACATACATACATACATACATACATACATACATACATTTATATATATATTCCCCCTTTTCTGCCTGTCTGTCTTATTTTTTCTCGTCGCATTGGTACCAGCCCTCTTTTAAAAGGTCACGCTACTGGATACCCCTGACCTCTCCTGATCAATCGCCTTGAAGGTCAGACTCCCCCCCCCCCCCCCCGGCTTCCCCTCGTGCGAGTTCTCCCCCGGATTCCCCAGTGTCCCGTTTCTGTCTCGTCATTATGCCGGCGAGCGACCAGGGCTTTCGCGGAGGCACAGATCACTCCCGAGAGCGGAAAAATCACGGGTTTGTCCGGCTTCTGTGATGGATGGAGGGGGGGGGGAGGGGGGGGGCGAGCGGAAGGGAGGAGAGAGGCAATAGAAAGATGAGAGCGGGAGAAGGAAAATGAAAGACATTAATGGTACTGACCGTTGGTTGGCGGAGGGCGAAGGGGACGAGCAGGAAGGGGGGGGTAAAAGGAGAACGAAGGGGGCGAGTAGGAAGGGGGAGTAAAGGGAGGGAGAAGCGGCATGGAAAGAAGAAAGTCGTGGGTGGGAATTGGTTTTAGCTTCTGTTGATTTTCGGTTGGGATTGGCGCGGATTCGATTGTGAATATCAGATCGGTCTTTCACAAGCGCGGTCTGCCCTAGGGATTAGTCTATGTTTTTCTTTTCTTTCTTTCTTTCTTTTTACTATCTACAGTTTAAAGAAAAGGACCATCATAAGCAAAGCCGCAGAGGCACGAGTCGACAGCAAGGGCGACTGCGTACAGGAGCCAAGGGCCCAGCGGCTTCCAGGACAAGCGATGGGTGTTTACGTGTCCCGCATTTCAACCCTTCGAGATGAGACCAGGAGCAGGATTAGGGGGTGCGGATAATAGTAATAAAGATAGGAATAGGTGGCGGGGAAGGATGGGAGTGTTCTTGATATATCTCCGCCTTGGAAGACAATAGTGCTCGGAGATTATCGGGTGGGAGCAAGCTGGCGTGGGGGAGGGGGGCGGGGAGGGGAAGGAAGGGGGGGGAATTATGGGAGGACGAAGGAAGTTCATTCATTTTAATAACAGCTGTTATAACTGTTACTTACCACTATTATCACCATTATCTTCACTACCATTATCGTAATCGCCATAAACAGTAGACGTTAAAGAACATGGATAGTCTGAAGCATAATGGAATGTAAGGAAAGTGAATGAGGACGAAAGGCGATTTATCGCCTCCGAGCACACCATTTGAGCGGTGCTGGAGGCGACTCGGATCCGCAATGACGATAATGATGATGAGGGAGATCAAGGAGAGATGAAGACCTGCCACGGGAGGGCGAAAGGGGAGGGGGCCGCTCCCTGGCAGCCGTCTTCGGAATGGGCCGCTGTCCTTCACGCTTCGGATGGCCTCCTTATTTCCCTCCTTTTCCTCTTGTCTATTTGGTGACAATGTGATATCTTCGTTGCTCTTTTCTCCTGAATACAAATCGATTTCCAGCAACAGGGAAAAGCATTAGCCTTGTCTAACCTCCAACGCAGTGTCCAGCAATGGCTAGGCCTACTTCAGAGGGAGTCCTCGTAGCGGGCCGCTGGAAGTTGATCTGCAGGAATTGAAAGTTAAGCGATCCTCCCACTCCCCCATTGCCCTTCCCCACCCACCTCCTCTCTGTTCTCTCAGATGGAACTTTTCCATCTGTCGAGTTTGTAACGCCTGTGTATGTTGAAGGTGTTACATTGGAGGATAGAAGGGAAAACAGATACGATTTAAATTGGCGAGAGACTAGCCTTTAAAGGATGTGTGTATTACTGCTAATGAGTCGTAATTTCCTGCAGCCGCGCCATGCACTGCTTGCACCCAGGTGGCTAGCTCACAAAAACGCGAGAAGGTGAAGGGAGAGGGGCGAACAGAAGATAATTGGGGTGCCTCGTTAGATACCATGAGATACTGGACGCGATTCATGAACAAAGCCTGCCTGAGCCTTCTCCAGCTTACTACTACATTACGTTATCATTATTATATTTAGCGGGGGGGGGGGGGCTGATTACTCGCTCTGACCCAATTACCTGGTTATTGGTCTCGCTAATTAGGGACGTTACTACATTAAGCATTATTTTAGATAGCATATACATTTTACTTGTTTACCAAATAGATATTTAAGTTTGAGATGAGAATTTTCAGATGTTTAAGATTTATAGAGCATTTGTGAACTTTGTGAAGAAATTATATGGCAGTAACAGAGAGCGGCTTGTCTGAGCCGTTCGTTATTGCTTTCGCCTTGTGCAAGAAATTAAATGTAACGGAACCTATTAAACAAACAAACAAAAAAAAACACCGTCAACCGTGTACTGTCTACCAACGTCTGTATCTAGAAATCGTTGTTTTACTAACGGTTCCGGGAGACGCTTATTGCTAATTGTGATGTTGACTGTGCAAAGACTGGGATGTACCTGAACACTCCAGTCGTACTAGGCTTTTCCAGTGTCAAAGCTCGTCATTTTACCTTCGGCAGATACAGGCCTCTCGTTATCTGTCGCCCTTTAATGCTGGCTTTTCTCTCGTGGCCAAAGGCTGTGGAAGGGCACGAAAAAAATTGCTATTGGATCCAAGGTCTATATAGTAAGGTCTCGTTAATTGTGAGTTCTGTGTGTGTGTGTGTGTGTGTGTGTGCGTGTGTGCGTGTGTGTGTGTTTGTTTGTTTGTTTGTGTGTGTGTGTTTGTGTGTACACACAAATCTATATACATATATACACATAAATATATATACATGTATATACACAAATATATATACATATATACATATATATACATAAATATATATGCATATATATACGTATCTATACATATAAATGTATAGAAATATACATATACATATCCATATATATACATATGTATGCATATATATAGACATACACACACACACACACACACACACACACACACACACACACACACACACACACACACACACATATATATATATATATATATATATATATATATATATATATATACATATATATATATATATAATATATATATATATATATATATATATACATATATATGGACATATCTATATGTATACATATTTATATGTACACACACACACACACACACAAATGCACACACACACACACAAATGCACACACACACACACACACACACACACACACACACACACACACACACACACACACACACACACACACACACACACACACACACACACACACACACACACGCTCACACACACACACGCTCACACGCTCACACACTCACACACTCACACACTCACACACTCACACACTCACACACACACACACACACACACACACACACACACACACACACACACACACACACACACACACACATATATATATATATATATATATATATATATATATATATATATATATATATATAATGTATGTATTAATTACGGTATGCTCTGGCTTCACGCACGCCAGCCAGACGGACGAATCTCAGCTCAGCATTTCCGCACTGTGATGTGGGCCACGATGGTCTGGTATTATTTGAGAAATTGAGTTTCAGGAACGTAAATACTAAGGTCGTCATATTTATTATGATGGAGAAATGAAAAATGCAGGAGGTGGACGAGAGGGAAACATTCACTTCATTTCCATCAAAGAAAGACGAGGAACAAACAATTCTCGACGCTTTTCAACCCAATGCTGACGGGCATAATGTGTACGTACGTTCAATGCCCAAAAATATAGAAAATGAGCACAGCATTTTCCCCATTTTTTATGCATTTACTCCGGCAGCAATGGGTTAAAGAATGAATCGAGAGTTGGTTGTGTCTCCCTACTTTCCGTGACGGAAGTAGGAAGAAAAAAATGAAATCAACTCAGATCATTCTTCAAAAGGCGTCGACTAGAAAATAAAGCACACGATTTCCTTTCACCCACCTGAAGGCATTCTTGATTCCTCCTACACAAGCCGTTGTCTTAAGTTGAATCCAAGGCAGCCGACCGCTTGGGCATCGCCGGTGCCACACGTGCTAGGGTATTCCCTTGGCTCCGCATTACATGTCTCGAATTGTTCTCCTGACTCTGTCGCTGTTATGTAACGTTGACATACACGTAGGTTATCGAGAAAAACGCCTTTTGACAACCAAACGACAGGTCTCAATCAAGCCTTGATGAAATGTTATGTACATTATTTACCATTTCTCTTTAACATATTTATTGTCCAAATGGACAAATGCACACTGTACATTTGAGGTTATACAAGAAGCTCTTCGCTGATTTGCTTCGTTTTAACAATGTAGTTCGGCATACTGGAACAAAAGCAGAAAGACAGACTGATAGACATATGGACATAAATATATTTGAAAGAGAGCTTGTGACTTTGAGTGCAAGGAAGAGCTGCCCGAGAGCTCTATTTAATGTGCTGTGATATGCCTGTAAACTAATCGTAATATATTTTTTCTCCAGTAAATAATCGTGAATCTGACAAAAAGTAACTTATTTATACTGTTGTCGATAAACTATTTTGTAGTTATTTAACGATTGTTCACTGATTTCCCGATTCTTTGGTCATGCCTCCAAAATTATTTTAAATTTAGCAAAGCCTACATTTGATTTTGGTGTGGCTCTGATTAATACTTGCTCTGTTCCTTTCAGTCATGCTGGGGTCGGCTGGTTATGTGACGCACCTGGATGTCCCTCTGAATGCCATCCGCTACACCAACCAGACTCTCACCTGTAATTATGACCTGGGCTCCGATGCACTCTACACCATCAAGTGGTATTTCAACGATGAGGAGTTCTTCAGGTAATGGCTTGCTTTACTTGAGCAGAGTTGAAGGTATTTAACAAAGCTTCCCTTCAAAAGAAACATTCTAAGGATCGCAGTTTCCCACAGCTTATCCAATAGGCTATTGCAAAGTAGATTGATTAGAAGCATAGATGAAGCCACAAGTCTCAAGGGCACCCCAGTAGCATAGGCACAGACAAAACTTACAAGAAAAACAAGGGAAAACCCTATAGCACATTTTTTTTTTTCTTTTACTCTTGTTTAGGGAAGTCATCATTTCAAATTTTACACAACAAGGAACATCTATGAACACATCTATGAAACTGCATAAGCTTCTGATTAGGGGATCATAGGCTTATAGAAACATGCTAATGTGAACACAAGGCCTCAGGGTGAGGAAGCTAATATAGGGCCCTTTCATAATTATGAAAACCTCTTTTGAGGTTAATGAAAAATGGGACGATAGGGTCATAGTACTCAAGAGTGGTATTAAGTAAAACAAATGTATCTAAAGGGTTGATAGAAACTAGGAGTGACTATTTATTTTGTATACTGCAAAAAATAATGATAATTGAGTCAACAGTATCTCAAGTAATCATTACAACTTTGGTTCAGTTAAGAAAAGATATTGGCTACTTAAAGTTATATAGGTGTGATAATACAGGATACACCCATTGGCCTTTTTACGAGGGGCACCACCTCAGAGGGGCGGCTAACCAACTTCACCTTTTGATGAATACCATCATTTGACTTTTTCATCATCATCATCATCAGTTTCATCCATCCATTAGTGAATCATTTGTCAGTTTGGAGGGGGGAATAAGCAATAAGTAATAAGTAAAGTTAAGTGATAATACCAGATAGACAAATGAATGAATAAGTAAATAGGTAAGTGATACAAACAGTATATTTACTCTTGATGAAGGAGTGAGTGGATTGCTCTGACTGTGCTCATCCCTTTTGCCAGAGCTTACCAGTATGAAGCTGGTTTGTTGGCTTTAATTTGTAAAAAAGACAAAGCTAGGAATCAGCTGGAAGACACAAATGCATAAACGATATGTACAGTCTTCAGCAGACCTTTGTGTTCATATTTTATAAAAGGAAAGTAATGTCCTGTGTCCTTTTAAGTGTGCAGCAATAATGTCTACTTTGTGTTAATTACTAAAGGAATAATGCTCTAATTATAAGTTGTAATAAAATTAATGCTTCTGTCAAATCATTTACTTAAATACTAAATGCACTAAGTAAGCATTCCAATATTTTTATTTCCTTTAATTTCATATATCTGGAGGGAATTGGGTTGGGGTATAAGTAATAATAAAAAGAACCAGTTGTCTATACAATGGCAATCATTTCCACTCTCTCAGGTCTAATATGTTTTTTTTTATTGCAGGTACACACCCAGTGAAGATCCCATGATTGCAGCTTTCGACAACTCAAATATCCAAGTCATTGTAAGTGAATAAAGTACAATCAGTTTGACTGCTTGAATATAATGCACTGTCATCCAGTTATAGGACTCAAATCAAGAGACTAAAAATGCTAGTCTTCTCTCTGTAAATGTGAAAATTTTCAAATGCATCTTACTAAAACAGATGGTATAAATTTAACATATTATAGCCAAGGTATTTGAAAAGATAGGTAACATCACTATCATTTACCCTTTTAACCCATTCGCCCCACGTGGCAAGAATACATGCTATGCCCACTGTAATACATGTTTATTTATTGTATTTACACATAGATGGCTCTACATGTTCTTAATCATAACATCGATAGCAATGGTATTAATAAGAAAAAGACATTTTCCCGCCAATTCAAAAAATGGGAGATTAGGATCGGTAACTAGGGCCTACTGATAGACTTCTTGCCGGCTGAACACATATGGAGCCATCTGTATGTAATAAAATTCACCAAAAACTACAGGGAACAGAACATAAATCTGGGGCAAATGGGTTAAACCCAAAACCTAAATTGGCTTTTTCCCGAAGAGTATTCTGATGGATGTTTATGGTATGTACTCTTCATTATAATGAAACAAGGATGGATTTTTTTTTTTTTACTTTTACATCATGAAGTAAATTATACAATTGATTATTTATCTAGTTATATTTGGCCAAATGGGATGACATCATTTAGCTGTGTCTTATTTTTACTCCTGTTAATCTATGCAATATAATTTGTTGTGTTTTGTCAGTTATACTTTCTTTGGAGTTGTTTGTCATGTAATTGGTAAACAGTTAAGCAAAAAAGAGAGGACAATAAAGAAACTCTGTTACTGTTTCCAATAAATGTTTGTGAAGGTGGCTTAACTACACAGTATTCAATAGATAGAGAGGTGTTAATGTCTTCTAAATATTTTGAGTATAGCAAAAATTGAGGAGTTGGGTTTTTTTTCTCTCCTTGTCTAGACCAGGCAAAGGACAGTTAAATGTATTAAGACAAACTGTCCTCAAATGAAAATGAAGGATTTCAAATAGATTTTTTAATTTTTATATTTTAGGGCCTAACCTGAAGTCTGTTAATTCTTTAATGATTTGATGTTAGTGTATAGACATTTGGATGTTTAGTATGGGAATTCCATGTAAATAGTTGGCAAGATTATAACTTTAGTATGAATTTTTTTTTTTTTTTTTTTTATATATGATGATGATGATGATGACACTAAATTGCAATGATTTCCTACACTTGAGTATATGATGCATTATTACATCATTAGATTTTGATATGCAACTTAAATGTGCAATAAACGGTTTTGAATTTGATTTGACATTCAATGTTCCAGATGGAGGAGTCGGAGGAGAACAAGGTGGTTCTCCGTGAAGTGGACCTGACTGCATCCGGCCAGTACAAGTGTGAGGTTGGCAGGGACTGGCCCGAATTCACGTATGATGACAAGACAGCCAATATGACAGTTGTTGGTGAGTTAATAGATCAGCTAATGTCTCTTTTGAAATATAAGGGAAAGATATGTTTTTTTTTTTTTTATGTCTCACAGAGATTTGATGCAACTGTTTGTGGTGTGGTGTCTAAGTGACCATGTTTAAGTCTCATATATGATTTTGTGCAGTTTTTTGACCCACTGAAATGCTGCTTTCCCTCTGTTTATGCACATAATGAGTAATAATGGCAGTAATTACATG